CACACACACACACACACACAACTGCAACCTGCTGTAACTGTAGCCAGTGGTGTAGAAAAGCATATGCGACATAATGCGGGCTGTCTGTCATTCCACTCGTTCGCTAATGAATACAACATGAGCAGACTGAATTATCTGACAGGACCACATCCTTTGGCAGGCCGCAGATCCTTAGTGCAAAGAACCCGAGCGAGCCGACAGCTTGTATTTTGACTGAGTCGTTCCTGATTATCTGTCTGCTCATCGTTTTATAATATCAACTCTAACTACACGGTTATTTGCAGTAGGTGCCTCCCGGGTTATGATAAAGTTTTGTAACAACATGTCACCACTTATAACTGTGACTTACAGGTAGAGCAAATTTCAAACAGGGAGGACGTTCGTCAAACAATCCAGGTGAGCAGCAAAAAGGAAACAAAAAAATACACAAGAACAATGGAAACAAGAGAAATATTTTGTGAAAAGGGTTGGCGTAATAAGCAAATGCTTCAGCCAATACCTTTTGATTAGCCTTGTCTCATGCTTTCTTTCTTTATGGTAGATTTTTGTTCTGTTTTCACTGTTTGTTTTTGTTTTTTTCACTGTTTTCACTGAGATTTGAATTTGAAAGCTAATCAATAAAATCAAAATCAAAATACTACAAAGTATAAAGTAGAAATAAAACACTGACTTGAGGGAATCTGTTGCTGCCTGGGTTATTAATAGCTAAAGTCCAAACGGGACACCGAATCTGATCTAATTCATCAGATTTCTATCATCAGTTTTGTGATCTAGTGTACATTTTTATCCCTGTCAGGTTACCGCTGACAGGGATAAGCGGAAGAGAGCGGATGGATGGATGGAGGTTACCGCTGAATAATTAGATTTCAAAATGAAATATAAAAACTTGACGACAGAAAGTATATCATACATAAGTATGATATATTTTATGTCAAACTTTTATTCTGTACATGATGACAACAGGGTGACACAAGCTGATTATTAATGACTGTTCTCTTTCCTCCTTATTTAAAAAATCAGCATTGACTTGTGTTCATATTCCTCAGTCGTTTGAGTTGCCATGGTGAATTGTGATATCACTGTTTTATGTGTTATAAACTACATAAAACTACACGTACTTCAGCTAATTTGAAAGTAAATTTAATCTCAAAGTTTAGCTCTCCAGACAGCAAATTTTCCATCACATACTCTATATAACCTACAATACTCTACCTGCTGTGTAGCAAATGGTAGAGAGGAAATTACTGATAAACACAGAGGGTCATTTAGGAGCGAGAGAAAAATATTTCCTTCTGCAGTTAGCAGACCACAAACAAGAGAGTGAATATTGGACAACAGTCTAAATAAATAATGAAGTTACTCTGTAAGATGTCAGATCGTATCAGACCGCTGCAGTCAAAGGTTAGAGAAGCGTGTCTACTACAAGATCAATGGATCAGTCCCGGGTCATCTCTCTCGTCAACACCACTGCTCCGCTGATGCTGTTTCAGCCTACAGCTATGTGCAAGTGAAACTTTCCTTAAAAAATACATGCTAAATCAAGTTGGTCAAGTTAGTTTGTTAAAAATTATTTCCTGAAGACTAATCCATCCATCCATGCAGATTAAAGGACACCAGCATCTTACTTACCAAACATTTTTGTATTAGATGAGGTCAGTACCTGAAGCCAACGAGTTGCTTGTCATCTTGAGCAGTTCACCATCTCCTTCTTTCACTTTATTTCTGATTGAATGCAACATTTGACAACTCTAGCTTTTCAACATGTGCAGTTCTAGGGAATTCAACAGTAATGGCAAAGTTTGTAATAAAGCTGCCCAAGCCTTTACTGGACGAAGAGTGGCCCTTTTACCATACATTTTATACAGTTGTCCTAGGTGTGCGTGCCACCAAGATGTCTGATGGCCTAGCCCCCCCCAAAAAATCACCACAGAAGGTTTTGGTTAAACGTATTTAACCTCCCAGTGACTAGTATGCAGCTGATTAGCTCAAAACCGTGCAACAAGTTCACACTAGTTAGCAAGCTAATATTAGTGGGCTGAGATCACAGACACTATAAAAGATGAACACAGCTTTTGGGCCTGAAATAATGCAAAAGCACCTTAACCGTGATTCTTTTTATTGGTCAGCCAGGAACCACTGCACTAGAAAAACTGGGGAAATGGCCCTCAGCTCACTCTCCCTGTGACCTCAGTAAACATTTCCTGATATGTTTATGGGCCCAATCACTAGTTTCTAATCATCGAAAACAGCAACTGGGGCCCACTACCTTCCATTATTAACCCAATTACCTGTACTGCTGTCACTGTCAGCAGGCACCAGTAGACACTGTCACTATGATTTCCCATCACAGTAATGGCGACTGTGCTGGATGGTGGAGCACACAAATCGGCGATAGCAAGGCACCACGCGATGACCATGTTTTGACATATTTTTAGCTGCACATTGTCTTGTGACTAAAATATTACCAAAGCTCAAAAGTGCATAAAGTTAAAAAAATAATCTAATGCATCAGAACAAATAAAAATACTTATGCAGCAAAAGTTAATTTACTGTCACATCTGGTGTCCATCAGAAATTCTTCGAAAAACAGAATGTTTACGGCTTGAGAATAGCTCCGGGCCTGATGATGCAGGATCAATTAGCATACAGCTGTTCACATTCCTTCGGCTTCGAGCAATAATCACTGATTACTCAAGATGCGGCAATCACAAAATAAACCCCTGTTGATTTTCATTCATTGTGCCCTGTGAACCCACCATCTGATCCATCCATGTTTTAAAGCTGCAGTATACAAAAGTGTTTTTAGAAAGTGACATGACATAAAAACACTCAAACACACTGGGCTTTAACACTCAAAAAATGCATAAACATGCTTATTTGTTCGTGATATTGTCCCAGCTACAGTCAGATTAGACAGGCGACCCACACAAACAACAACAACACTAAGGCCGGCTAACAGCAGCACTTCTCAACAGAAAGGTTCTGTACATCCTCAATAACTCACCTCAGTATTGGAGAGAAATAAGCTTCACTGACTCCAGAGGCTCCACATGGACACCCAGCTGACATAAACAGCAGACTGACAGAGTTGTTTGTACCTACAGCCGCCATAATTAGGATTACGCACTTAAATTTCAGAGGAGTAAAAAAACAGAAATGGACGGCAATCAGCAATCTACTGACATCTACAGCAGTGGTGAGATTTCACAAACTGTACCTTTAACTCTATGTTCTTTGGCTTGTTTTAACAGACAAAGGAAGAAAACTTGAGATGCACTGGTTTAGCCCATTCAACCCACTATTTTCTTTAAACTACTGCACCGAGGCTAGTGTGAAATTTGCTCAAGTCCCTCCTCACAGGCTACATTTTTGTAAAGCCTGAAAACAGAGGCCAGAGGCACTGCAGAATTCTAGTTTCCTCTCCAACTACTTCGGTTTCAACCTGCTGGATTATCTATTTTTTTTTAAAATAACTACACCAGCTTTAAATGTAGTTGTTTCTTCTTTGTAGTTGGGACCTTTGTTATGATTGCATGTGTCAGATGCTTCACTTCATAATAAGGCTCTGGTCTGGAAGAACCTTCGTCATATCAGAGGTGTACACTGGAACATTGACAATAAAGGGCCCAGGCCAGCCCTGTATGTCTTTCTGTCCTTGAAAACAATGAAAACATGTCCCACTGTGTGTGTGTGTGTGTGTGTGTGTGTGTGTGTGTGTGTGTGTGTGTGTGTGTGTGTGTGTGT